CCTTCATTAAGTTGTTGCTGAACTCACCCCTGGATCACCCCTTGGATTCCTTTCAGCCATGTCACTGCAGGTTTTGGGGGGGGGGAGAATCTCCAAATTCTTCTTCTGCGAGTCTAGTTCGGTACCCGGGTACCCCATAAGTAGCGCCGTCCATGTAGAACTTCGAGTCTTCGTTCTCACTCACCTCGTGTCCTCGTTTCTACCCTCGTGTCCTCGACACCCGCAGGTCTCGGGGCCGGTCGTCCGGGCCGTATGGGGCCGTGAAGTCGTGAAGTGATCCAGGTGATGCGTGCTTCGGTTGACCGAAAGATCTCACACCATTTCCCAGACACTCCATGTATGCCATATATGCCTACATTGACCCCTCAAACCACCCCAATGTAGGCATATATGGCATACATGGAGTGTCTGGGTTTTGTTCCGAACATCACACATTGAAACTCCTTCGTTGAGCAGAAATCAGTCGAACCCAGTGGTGTCGCAAGTGTGGCGTGGTGAAAAACACACCCGGAAACCGGTGCGACCGAAAGGATCCGAAAGGAGGCGCCACCTTACTGCCCTCGACAGCCACCTGACTGAGTGCCAAGAGGCCAAGCTCTGTAGTCCTTCATCCTTGATGCATGTTCTTCATTTTTCAGAGGCCATTTGTATAGGTTCGGTCGGTCCCAGGAGGTCGAGGTCTGATTCGCTGGAAGTCGATCGTCCAGTCCTGCAGCGTGCATCTTGAGAAGTCGTCCAAATCCGAACACATCGATGTTCATCGTGAAGATGTAGTGCCCCCCGTGTTTTGCGTTCATCATAAGTGCCTTTGTTTGTTGGAACCTAAAGTGGCGTCGATCGGAGGATTTCGCCCACGAATTCACCACTTCGGGATTCTTTTTGGTTGTTCACCCTGGTGAATCTGGTGAAGGCCTGTGAGCTGGATTTGGGGAGCAAGTTGATGTACCTCCCACAATGTACCACTTGTGCCTATCCAAAATTAGGGGTCGGAAGGTAGCTCAGCCTATCTAACATGTTCTTTCAAACACGGTCCTCATTTCCTTAAAGATTTCATCAGCTGGTTATGCTCAACCATTTCCGAACTTTAATCGACATGTCGGACTCCGTCCATGGTGCAATGGACTTGCTGCATGGTGGTTGCATCTTCTGAGAGGTGAGCGGCACTATGGGCCGGGGATTTGACAAAGAAGTACAGAACCAGCTGATATCGCTTCCTTTTAATGTATCCATTCCACCCTTTCGCAGCTCCTTTCTGAGACGCAGCCGTCGGTGAGCGCCAAAGATGAAACGGACCTTGTTTCGTGAAACGCCCTGAGGCCTATAGTGTGGACATTCCGACTCACTAACATCGTGAGTTGTGGACCCCTTCAAGACCACTTTCCTCTACAAGCTGGGGGCTGTCCACTCCATTTCCATGTTGGTGAGTCGCTTGCACCTCGCTTGCGCGTGACGTGGGATGCAGCGGGAGCTTTCCCACGCCCTGTCTGCATGAGGCTGTGTGCCACTTCACTCAGAAGGGTTGGGGGTTGTTTGGGAAGACTCGTATTTACGTTTCCTCAAATCCCGTCAAGGCACACGGAGGCGGAACAAATGGAAAATAGGTCCTTGCAAGACGACTTCCTCCACCAAGCTTTCTCACTGTCGATCTCCAAGAGCTAGATAGGCGAAGCTGGAGGTTTCAGTTGGTTTCCCCACTGCAATGGTGGGGTCTGGGCGGCGTTGCAACAAGCCAGGCATCCGAGCGAAGCAGCCGCGGTCTCAGTGCCGACGGAGTACAGCGACGCATTTTGGGAAAATTGTAGATCCAACAACCTACATGTGGAGCTGGTGACTCAGCCCGCTCCACATCGTCGTCGCCGGCATGTTTGGTCATCATCATTTCCTTGTCATTCTCGTCGTTTTCATCGTTATCGTCATCGTTGTCGGCACCATTGGTGGGGTTTGTAGAGGTCAGCTCTACTGACCACAGCGCCGTTGGACCCGTAGGATGCTGTAATCAGAATTTTTACCTTCCACCATTTCCAAATGTTTTCCTTTGAACAAACGCACTGGAACACTGACCAATGTCACTTCCAGCTGCAGCAAGATGAAAGTGACACGAACCCAACAGTTTATTGTTTATGCGGATTGGTTGGTGAGGTAAATCTCGCAGTCGTGATCGCAAGAGGCCTGGTGCGTGAGACAGGGGTAGCGGGTTTCGATCCATTTCGATTATTTGCAAATGTTAGCTTGATAAGGCAAAACTACCAAAATTGGCAAGGACATGGCAAGGTTTCTTAACAATCTAGCACCCGTTTTTGTTGTCATGCTGATGCTGTTCTATTTGGGAAGATGTGTTTGCATGTGTTTGTGTTTGTTAGTTAGCAGTTTATCTACGGCCGGATCTGGAGTGATATAGGAACCACTAGGTGAAACCGCCCGCCCTTTTTTTGTTCTGAAGAGCTTGAAAAACCAGAACTTTCTGGCACATGTGACATTTATATAACAAAAACATTCACCGTGACCAAAACACAAAAAACACTTCCACTTTGGAGGATTCGATGATGCTTAGATCGCGCGATGATGCAACAGTCAGCTTCAAGGATGTATTGCAAGTTGCTAGCTGGAGACCGGAAGCACCAGGGAGCACCGGCCTAACATGATCACTTGGGATGTGCCAATGATCACTGATCTTTCGGATGATCAACATGAGATGAACCGGTGCTTAGTGTGGGGCACACTGGTGGGGGTCAGGTCATCGAATTGGGGACCAATCCATGGGATTCAGCGTTCGGTTCATGGGGCAAAGCGGTGGACCCACGCCAGGATGTCGCGATCCACCGGCCCACGACGCCAGGAAGTCGCGGCATTCCAGCGAGTCCAGTGGAGGCAGAGAGAGAGAGAGAGAGAGCGCTGTGGGATGCTGCGGGGCTGGAGACCGATCTTTAGGAGGGCCCTGTGTTTGGGAGAAGCCCAAGCACGAGACATTGTCCCAGTTTCCGTGGGGGTGCTTGGGAGGTGTCCTGCTCAGAGGATGGCGCAACCCTCGACGAGAATTCCAAACTATGGACATTTCCCTACAGGTCTTACGGAGCTCATTCGACTGGATCTGGTCATGCAAAGCCAGTACTCAATGAGGTCAGTCAGACCAGGTTTGGCCCGACTGGACTTGTAGGGATTTGTTTTATACCCAGACGCTAGGGTTTTGACCCTCACAACTAGGGTGAAATGGACCTCAAACGGCGCCTATTTTCCCAAATGGGTCTTTAGAACCAACCCGGTGCCACACCGGTGCTTCAGTCTCGGTGTTCGCGGTCCTCGTCGGTGCTCGAGCGGTGCTAGGTCGCCGGTCCAAGCGGTCGAGGAGGAAGGAAAAGGATTCAGAGTCCTCCTCCGATAGGCCGCGCGTGGCGCGTGTCGTGTGCGCGCGTGTCGCGTGCGGGGGGAAAGGGTTCACCGGAATGCCGTGAACTCAGAGGCAAAGGAAAAGGATGTTGCAGCTCGGGTGCGGGTGGGGGTTGTTGTTATTATTTGATAATAATACATAATAATACAATGTTTGATTTTTCAGGGGCTTAGATGGAGAGCAGAGACGTGTTTGGTTGGAAGGAGAGGTTCACCTCACAGAGTCAACTTGCGACCCATCCGGTTCCTCACAAACGTTCACCTTGGAAACCCATTGAAACCGATGGATGTCCTTTGCAAATCCTTCAGACACGCCGAACTCAAGACTCAAAGAACAGGTTTCGCGGAACTGAGCTATGGAGGTTCCCACCTCACTCTTCATCCCAAAGTGCCTAGCTCAGCTTGGCTGGACAGGAAGAGGAAAAAGAAGCGACACTGATGGCGCGTTGATCCACGCAACGGCACATCAAGGACGTGTTCCAGCCGCTCTGCATGTGCTCACACTGACGGAGGCCCACCGCATGAGGCTCTGCCATCTAGCAGGCACTAGTGGCTCCTCATGGCTCCTCATGAGTTCTTAGTTGAGTCGAGATGTATGTGGGCCCCCCAGGCTCAAGTGTAGACGTGGTCAAGAGACGAGTCCTGGACGGCAGGAGCAACAGCTAATCTTGCTTTTGAAGCAACAGCCCAACCACCTGCGCCGTGGTGGCTTGAGTTTACTAGCAACTTTTCTCTCAAGCCACAAAAAGCAGGCGTGCCATGATTGAGACAAGAGCAAAGCACCGCAACACCCGTTGACTCGTCCAAAAATAGGGGGAAAAAACTTGACCCACTGGCTGTGTGGCTTTTGCACAAAAAACAAAACCCTTTGCGTTTGATGGCGAGACTTACCCATGCAGTATAAAATTTGTTGCATTGAAGTCATATGTAGTCATCATTTGCTCTACAAACAAACTCCCGGCTAGCTGTAGCGAGGCTTAAGTGGCCCAATACTATTGGACTTAGACGGTTGTCTTTTTGAGCCGACACTTAACTACCACTAGCCTACAGCTGCCAGCTGCAGCAGGAAGCAGGGCAGACATGGACAACCAAGGCAGAAACGGGGTCGTACCACTAGCCTTCACCTATATATTGGAAACATCGAGGCGGTCAGCAGGCAGAACTTGTCCAAAACAACGCGAACACAGGACTCTCACTACCCTTAACCTGCTGAGAAACAGCAAGGGGCTCAACAGGCAGAACTTGTCAGGAACACAAAAGCAGAACCTACCACTCGTCTTCACAGGCTGTGAATCAAAAAGAAGGTCAATCGTCAGAACTGGTCAAGAATGCAGAAACAGAACATCACAAAAGATCAGAACGCAACACAACATTAAGCCTTCACCTGCTGTAAAACAGCAGTTTTCAGGGTGTTTTTTCACCTGCAGAACTTGTTTTGACCCAACCGCCATTCGCTTTTGACGCTGAACGCCATTCCGCCATGCACCGTGTGTTGGTCGTCGGCGCCGGGGCCACGGGCTCCGCTGCGGCCTGGCGCCTGCGACAATTGGGACAGGTGAAATTGGAGGTTTGGGAGAAAGCACGTGGGCCAGGAGCGAGAAACGCTCACCAAGGAACACTTTACTATCTTTTACTATAGTTGATTCATCAATGATTAATAAATTTAGCTTTTGATTTGGAGAAAGGTTGCAAGCTATGATACAAAGTGGCCGGGTTCGCGATCCACTGAAGAAACTTCTGCAACTTCGGGAGACCCGATTGCACTGATAGACTTGTAGATGCGGGAGTTTGTGGGTCGATGTTGGTGGCAAAAGTCTCAGTCTCCGGAGGATTTGAAACAGAACTCAGGAAAGGATTTCACCAGCCTCATGACTTGTTCAATACTTTGCCAGCCGTGGCCACCTTTGACTCATACGGTTACTGTACCTCATCATCCTAGCCTCCTCGGTGATCCTCCTCCTCCTCCTCCTCATCATCATCATCATCATCATCATCCCAGTCTCGTGATCAGGAGGCCGGATGAGCACGAACCGCCAAGAAGTCAGCGGTGCAACTGTGCGAGCTGACATGGGAGCTCAGCCGCGCGTCCTGCTTTGGGTCTTAAAAAATGCATTAAAATGGGGCCTTTGAGAATCTGAAACCGAGTGCTGTGATTCACGACCCAGAAACCCACAGGTCTTAGTCGAAGTGTTCCTTTTTAGATTGTTTGACCATGTTTGACCAGTGGCTCTTCATGTGATTTTTCATTGAGCAATGGCCGTTCATTGCTGTTCACTCGCGCACGGAGTGACTCCGTCACGGAGTACCTCCGAGGTACGTGTCGGTGGAGGAGTCCGACTCCGCGACCATGCAAGTGGCTGAGAGGTTGTTGTCCTCGGGTGTTTGCGCTGAGGCGAGAAGACCGACATGTCGAGACAGGTCGAAGGGGGCGCCAAAGGCGGAGGTTGGCAGGTTGGACATATCTCTGTGGACGCCCAAGACGCGTCAGACAAGAAGAAGCAACATGGCAAGCGGTGTAAGACCCTTCAAGCATCCATCATGGAGGTGGATAGCACTCTCATGGCTCAAGAGACATCAAGAGACTAAGAAAAACAGAAGACTTCGGCCTTCCACCGTCCGTCACCCCCCAAAAAAGTCTTTCAAACAAAGTCAAAGAAAAAGCATTCCAGTCCTAGACTGGACCTATAGAATCCATTAGAATCCTATAGATGAATCTTTCACCCGCCCCCCTTTCTTGGTTGAAGCCTTTGATCTTCTCTTCTCTCCATCCGGCGCAGGTCTCCCCGGAACTCTTGACCGCCACCCCCGAGCGCCCGGTACGGGCGAAGCACCTGGCAGGCGAGGTCCCGGAGCGGGCGAAGCAGGGGGGTGGAGCCATTGACAAAGCGAAAACGAAGCAAGTGGGTGGGAAGGCTGAGACATGGCAAAGACTTTCAGGCTTACCAAAGATGATGAATCAAGAGCTTGGCTTGGGCAACATTTCGATTGTTTGCTTTGACTTGGCTGATGTATGCTTTTGTTGGGTTTGATTTACCTGTGCACTTGGAGAAAATGGATCAAAACATCACGGCGCCATGAAGCTGATGATAGGGCAATTCTGGGGGGCATTTCAGGAGCCATCCTCAAGCCATTTACAGTAATGGAATGCCAGCTGCCAGCTTCTACAACCTATCATCCACTAAATCAATATTCCCAGTCTTGCGTGTCGCCATGTGTCGCCTTTGATGAACTTTATTCGCTCGGTGCTTGGCTGTTCTCTTCGTTGCATGTGAGCTGCAGTCTTGAAGCAGGTAGAACCGGTTATACATTCTGGATCTGAATATAGGCCCCAACTTGGCCCCCAACTTGATCCAACTTGTTTGAAGCAAACTACATGATTCCTGGCGCTGCTTGATTCACAGGCACGGCCGGTGGTGTCAATGATGCGCTGAAGACGCTCCTGGAGGAGGACCAGTCTATCGGAGGGAGACTTACGGGAGTGATAGACGGGGATTGGGATATTGAGCAATCAATGTGGTTCGATGCTTGTTTCATGCTTAAAATTAGAACACCACTTCGAGAAAGAAGAACAGCAGGAGAACAGGAAAACACAAACACCACATAACACCACCATCTATTTGAAGTAATGATTGGAAGAACACCACCCCTTCTTTCAGGACACATCTTTTTCCCACTCCGCCCAAGCCCACGAAGAAGTCCACCGGTCACCTCTCGGCCGCGTTTCGGCTGAGAAAGTCGACCGGGCACGAAGCCGAAGCGCAGCAGAGAGGCGGATGCCACGGTTCATTACGAGAAGCGCGTGGCTTCGCTGGATTTGCAGAGTGGATCGTGGCGCGCTCGACCTTTCGAAGGAGCGCCAGGCGGGAGATGGATGTGTATGGGATGTGCATGGGGATGTATGGAGGGCTGATGATTTGCAGGGTTTGAAAGACATGTAGAGGTGAGAAGCAGAATGTCCTGCTTTGATTGCTGGAGAATCCACAGTTCCCAATCAATCCAGACAACAGTTGGAGTGGCTGCATTTTTGACCATGCCTGACAGGCCTGACATGTGTTCAACCAGACACCTGAGCCGCCTCTCCGCGCAGCCTCCATCCAGGTATGTTTGACGCAGTGCTCATCGCAGTTCCTGGCTGCGGAGTAGGCAGGGCTAAGCAAGAGACTGTGCCCCCCCTGCAAAGCACTTTGTTGATTTAGCACATAGCTTCAACACAGGTGGTTCAAGATGTTGCTTCGGCAGATCACGTATCTTGAAAGCGCTTACCGCCCCGGTACTGAAGCGGAGCACTGTCTTTCGCTGTCGAATCAAGCCGAGGGGCTTCCCGTGAGAAAGAACGTGAGCCTTGTCCAGGTGGCGACAATCTCCTGAAAATCCACGGGAGCTGGGAAGGGATGCTGAAGCAAGATCAGAACAAGCAACTGATGGTGGCTTGCTGGCGGCTTATTGATGCTTTCCGACAAACTAGTCACTATATAAGTTGAGACAATCACTTTCCAAGCATGTGATCACCACTGGGGGACATCCTTCCTTAGGCATTTTTGTTGTGTGTAGGCTGTAACCTTCATTGCGTGTTTTTGTCCTTCATGTAATGAAGAAGGATTAACAACAATGAAAGGAACTATAAGGAAATCATGTTGGCAGTTCACAATGATTCTTTCAGTTTCATATATATATATAGATATAATTTGTCCGTGAGAATTGCAACAACGTCACCCAACGTCACTCTGCAACGACATAGATTGGTCTTGAGTTCTTCCCCTGAACTTGTTCAGAGGGCAGGATCCCTCCAGCCATTCACTGTGGGGTCTACACCAACCAACAGATTACTAACCCTAGGGATCGAAGTACCTTCTCAGAAGGTGTTATGTAGGTTTGGAGGGTCCAGTCGTACCTTCTGAGGTTCGGTACGACTGGATCCCTAGGGTAAGTAAGAAGCTTGTTTGACTTACCCAGATGATTACCGATTCATCTATCTAGTCCAAACATGTCGAAACTTGGACCCAAATGGGCCTATGTTTGGGCCCCGCAAACAAGGGGTTCTTGGAGCTTCATGAAAGCAGTTCCAAGCCGTGAGTGGATGTTTCCCAGAAAAGTATGCAACGGGAAGAGCCACAGACGTATGTGCCCTGAGCCTCACACCTTCCTGACACCAGGCAAGCAGTGCACAGGAAAGCATGGGAGGTGGTTTGTTCACACCCATGCTTCCCAGCCCCTCCTCCTTTTCCCTTTGTGGTGCCCAAGGCGGCTCAGCATGATCAGCGCTGGTCCTTCGCCTTCTTTTTGCCCAGCGACTGCCAAGCGGTGTGCGAGCGCTATTTTGGCCCCAAAGTGGTGGAGAGCCTCGGACGGGGTGCCGAAGCGAATGTGACCATCGATGGCGTAGAAGCATGTGACAATTAGTTGCTTTGTCACAGGTCGTTTCACATGGGCGAGCCTGAAAGATGGTGTTTTTTTAAAAGTGTTCTTTGCTCACTTGATCTCACTTGTATCAGTTTTTAGTCCTGAGTCATTGCATTGATTTTATACATTCACATACTAATTCATGGCACTTTCCCACGTCTCATGTTGCCATAAAAGCTCGACCCGTCTCATCGACTTGTGCATGCTTGAAGACGACCCATGTTTCGACCCATTGAACCGACGTCGTTGTGCCAGGAAATTGGTGGACGACGAAGTGGTTCATTTGCTGTGCTATCAATCTCGAAAGACAGAGATCGTCAGCTTAGAGAGTAGTGCGCTTGGTGCTTAGCTGAACGGAAGAGCGCAGAGTGTTGCTTGCTTGACCCAGGACCTAGGGATACCTAGGCCATCCTAGGCCCTGACCCGGTGCCAAAGAAATTGCTGGACGTCCATCAAGGCTGCTCAATCTCTCCAAATCTCCAAATTATCGCTTGAGAGGCTACCTCGGCTTCAGAGCCTCTCCCAACGTCTAGAAGTTCTGAACAACTCTGCGCGTTTCTTTTGGGTTCTTCCTTCTTTCACCGTCGTTCTGTTTGACCATGATCGGTGACCACCTCAGCATGAGGTCCAGCCCGGTCGTGGTGGCCCATAGCACCACCGAGTGGGCCAAGCGCCATGCGCAGCGCGGTGGGAAGGATGAACGGCTTTTGAGGGAAATGGCTGCCCATGTGCAGAAGCTCATTGGTTTGGAAGGCTCAGCTTAGTTGGGTGTGAGGTGGGTGTGATGACCTGAAGATTAGAAACAAGAAGAATTCACAAGATTTTTCCTCTTTGAATGGAGTGGCCTGGTGCAGCCAAGCCGTGCTGGTCGTGAGCTTTCGGTCCCATGGGCAAATGCTAGTAGTTTTGGCGCTTCAGATGCAGCTGTTTGCGACTGTTTGATTCGTAGGTTTGTTGACCCAAACTGTTCAATCCAAGAGTATTTCTCACACGATGCTCCGAAGTCAGTTGACCTCAGGTTGTTGCATAATTAGGCCAAATTAGTGTAGGAGTCACTGCACCGAAGCTAGATTCAATGTCTAGAAGCTGGTCTTCGTTTCTCTAGTTGGCAGGTCCGCTTTCACAGCTGACAAGTACTTCCAAAGTGATTACCTGGAAGCAATGCCAAGTTCAAAGGCCTGTGCCTCGTTGCAGACAAACGGAGACTTATGCGTTGATGTTGGTTGATCTTTTGGTTGCGATGATTTGTAGAATGATAGTGGATTGAAGGTTGACAGCAGTGTTGGAAACAAGGCAGGAAGAACAATTAAGTTGAACGATCACTGTGTGGTTTGACTTATACCTGTTGCTTGCAAGTTGAACACTATGGTCACTGTGGACTGTTGCTGGCCGCATCTAAACCAAAGTAAGTAGCCACTTTGTGAGTGATCCTAGTGACAGTAGCGTGTCCACTGGAAAATCTAGATTCTCACCCCCTAAAGTATTCCAATGTGGTCATTGTAAACATGGGGTCTGTCAAAAGTCACTGTTGGAGGGCAGTATACCTTAATTGTTGAGCCATATACCACATCCTATTTCAATCTCTTTGCTCATCTTTGCTTCATGCAGACGCCGATGCCGCATGATGCCGCAAGTCTTTGCTTTCGCTACTTCAGGTCACATCGGAGGCGGTACCTTTCATGGCTGTGACCAGCGCTCCACCACTGCTTCTTGCTGGTGACTACTTTACAAGCTCCAGCTTCAGTGGCTGCGTGAGGAGCTTGAACTGCAGACATTGCTCGGGGGTTATGACATTCCGGGAGTTGGGGGAAGACTCCCAAAATGATATCAACCTACCATGGTGACCGGTGTTACGTAGTTTTGATCCTTTGACCCCACACCTCCATGTGTTTGTGTAAAAATGACCCGACCCAAACTCCATCAAGCACTCGAAGGCCTCAGGACATGACATGAATGAATGTCCTTCAGGCCACATCTGGGGGGATGCGCCGGCCTCCATGGTGAGGGGGTGGGGCCACTCATGCGACCGTTGGCTTCCTGGGAATTCAGGAGTGGCTTTGCAGCAGCAGAGGCGCTGAGTGCATTGCTGAAGGACGTAACCCCAAAGGCAGGTGGAGGGAGAGAGAGGGAGAGGAATCACTCACACCATGTTGGCACCCAAGCTAGGTATGTATTCTGAAAGGCCTTGCATATCTCATCATATCTCATTCGAGGCTCTTTTGTTCTTCCAAGAGCCCTTTGTCAGCCTGTTCCCAGGCCACTGATGCCCCAGAGGTATCTGAGGGGACTGGAAGGAAAGGCTTCTTGGAGGAGATCTTAGATTTGCCTGGTCCATGTAGGCCATCATGTTCTTTCAACGGTTTGTTTACATGTCCACGTGACATGTTTACCAATCCCAATGTGGTTACGGTTACAGGATGGTACTGGTGATCTCCAAGTATTTGCGTCTGGTGTAAATCAATCAGTCTCACACTCCTTGCTGATCGAACAGAGCTTGTTGTGAGATCACGTGCCCTTCTCCGCATGTTCAGAGCTTGGTCGGCCAAGGCAAAGGTAAAGGCGGCAAAGGCAAACGCGACCAGGCATGATGGGATAGATCTGCCTTTTGAAGGAACATAGCCATTCATCCCTTGCGCGGAACCAGCACCACTCACTATGCTCGCACTGAGAAACACTGACACTGAGCAGACTTAGCACACTTATATAGACATATGCACAACCAGACCCGAAGGCACACGAAACCTGTCTATCGATGCAGACCAGACCCTTTCCAAGAAGGCTTCAGCTCAAGGGGAACAGCACAAATGATTCCTTTTTTCTCCTGCTTCAGGCACACCAAACTTGTTCGTCTCCTCTTTACAAACTGCTTCCCCAAAATAGGAGTCCAGGTCCAATTCCTTTTGGCCAAATGGGACTCACGGGGACCGGGTCCCGTCCCGACCTGACCACACAGTGGGTTCCACCCGCAGGGGAAGGGCAAACACAAGCATGACACTTGGGAGAACGATGGTGGCTGGCAAGATGGTGGCTGGCACCATGGAGGTTGGCACCTTGGATGCAAGTGGCATTTCGATCACCGCCTTCCTGACCTAGCTCTACGGTGCCGTACATGTAGATACAGTATCTATTCGCGTAACGTATAGACTAGACATTTCACAGAATCAGACATATACTTTATACTTTTGTTATCTTTTTGTTGCATCCATGCACGAGTCATTTGCAAGTATGCATGTGGAGCAGACATCCTTCCTATGCGTCACCGAGCCCAACCTATTCCTCCAGTTGTGCATCGAGTGACGCATTTGTCCATCCGTGCCTGTACTGCTCAGGAAAGGAAAAGGTGGCAAAGGTGGCAAAGGTGGCAAGGGAAAACGAGAAGGATACCCATACAGCTGATCATGGATCTTTGGACGCGAGCACAAGCGCTGCTTCGCTGCTTGGACGTCAGTTTACATATTGTTGGGTTCTTTTCTGGTTGGATTGCGTGGCAATGGAGAAAGTAGACAATGCTTGCAACATCGTGCAACTATTATATTACTATAAAAGTATTTTAAGTTGTACTTCGATTGCAATAGTGGTTTGAGGAGGTATTCGGTTCAAGTTCACCATCATTCTGTGCGAGATCAAACTCATATTTCACATCCAGTTACAATTTTACTTTTGGACATGATTGACCACATTTTCTTCGAGCTCTGCATCCATAGACACCATGCCATACCTTGAAACAAGGGACCAACCTGTAGTCGCATAGCCGAACAAGCTGTAGTGAACCTCTCAACTCACATCGTTCCAGGCCCCGCGGAGTGTGCATGGCGCAGCCGGCGCGGCGCGGGCGAAGACCTGCAGATGTCATGTGAGATTGCAACTTCGACCACCTCCCCTTACACTCCGACTCATGTTCACGGGTTTGGTGGTTGTTCACCATGAAAAGTTAAATACCCCCCTACCACCCTGCTTCCATACATCTACATACCACTTCGTCTTCTGGCGATGTCATCCACTTCCATGTGAACGTGAGTCAGAGTGTAAAACTCTGCTGCCGCTTCTCAGCTGCCGCCCTTGTCGGCTCCATCACACACAAACATCGAAGCTGAGAGCGAACATGACAGACGAAGAACATGAAACCGGTGACCGGGACGTTCCCCCGGTCTGTTGACCGGGACGTTTCGGTGTGTCACCATTTTTCGGACGCTTTTCAGACGTCTGTTTGTCCCATCCTTGGCAGCCTGTCCTGCGGCGCTTGGGAAGAAAAACGGGGAAGGCTCGGCGGCACGGCAGCTCCGCTGCGTGGAAGAGAAGGGCGATGTCCTGAAAACTGCCTGGAGACGTGACAGTAGCCTACTGAGCCTATACTGTCCAATTCAATTTCGCTTGGCAGTATCCATTCGCGCAACTCACTCACCGCCAGGACGAGCAGCCAGTGATTTCAGAGTGAGCGAGCGGTAACGCTGCGGCCCGGTGATGTCTGGCGAGAGCCGAAGTATGAGCCGAAGATTGGTGTGTTTGGATAGTATCAGTGACAGATTCCGCATCATTCCCCCATCTACAGGTGAACTGCAAAAACAGATCAGTGCCAGAGGTAGAGGTGGGGGGTAGAGGTGGGCACTGACTTTGGTGGACCATAGGTTTAGTAGTTCAGTTCATGTTTCCTTTGACCAGAATTTGGGGGATCCACTGCTAGAAAAAGATCTGGATGGGAGAGTGAGATGGTCAGATGTGATGCTCAGATTCGGCTGACATGAACAAACATGGCGCTATGACTTGCCAATCTTACCCAGCAAGAGGATTTCGGCCAGAAGCTCTCCTTATGCGCCAGAAGCAATGGGTACGGCACTGTAGAGTGGGCCCCAGTGCGAAGAAGCAAGAAGCTGAGGTAGTCAACAAGACACCCAGTGGGTTTGCCAGACATGGTACACCCCTTTGAATAATCACGGAAGTGGAAAACCACCTGTTTGTAGAAGAACATGGTCCTCCAAGGGGCCATGGCATCCACTTCCGTGATGATTCCAGGAGTGTACTTTTTGCGGTTCACCCAGACAATCTCACCATGCAGTCCTTTTATTCTATTATATATTCTGATTCTATTATATTGTTGTATATTGTTGTCTCGTTGATCACAGCATCAGCCAGAGAGGTGCTTGCAAGTTCACCATGCGCTTTCTGTGTTCACCATGCGCTCGGGTGAGACCTGACTTTGCTGGTTTGTGAGCTGGGGATGTTCCTCAGAGGTCGGGTTTTTCTTGGTCCCCAAGAACTATCGAAATACCATTTGTTGGTCTCTGGGTTTTAAAAGGAACTAACATTTCGATCAGTGGATGGGAGGGCAGATTCAGCACTGGCCCACGATGAGATGCATATGAGGCGTTCCGGTACCAATTTAGCCGACGTTCACGACGACATTCGCACGGATCACAGAGTTGCTCGCAAAAGAACTCGGTGCGTGACATCACCCTGTTGATCGAGGGTCTCTGGTCTCCAGCAAACCAACAAATCCTATATGACCAGGTGAAAACCCTCAGACTGAAGGTGTAATGTTGGCTGTTCATGAAACAAAAGAGAGTGGGACGCCACCAGGTCCCCCAAAATACGTGGTTTTCAGCGTGTTTCAAACCCAAACATATGATTCATATGATTGTTTCTAGGTCTTATTCAAATGTGCTATGTTGTATGTTGACGATGCAATGTCATTGGTATATCTAAAGTATTTCTCAAATAGTTTACTTTTGAGTATTGAGTATTTACAAACGTATAGTTCTTGATATTGTTTAGCTTTTGTTTATCCTCTTTTGTGTTCAATCTTTTATATATGTTCAGCACTTTATGCTCAACATGTTGTCAATCATTGTATCAGCATATTGTTTCATAATCTTTGGTATTTGCCAGCTCATGAACTGATTTTAGTTGTTTGATATCACGTGTGGCAACAACATATTGCTCAACAAACTATTTGGCCTTACAATAGACAGGCAATTTCCAAAACGTATGCCAACAATCTTGTTTATTGGTATGGCATCACCGTCAAATTCGTGTAATTAATAACCTACTTACTAGTAAGGCATACAAACAGTATTGTGTAGCCATTATCAACCATTTGCTGGCAGATATGACTTTTGCTTGATCCTACTTGTACAAGTAATATCCTAATCATTACCTGGTTCACTTTCTCAATGTCACTAACAATACCATCAATATCAATACCATACTCATCATTTTGAATTTATCTATCTTTAGATGTTAGTATTTCTACAATCTGATTTTCTACAACTTGGTAAAATTCATTAGGTAATTCAATATCCACATACTTGCTCACTATCCAGCCTCCCATCTTATTAGTAAAAGCTACTCCCTTGGATTCTTTTCATCTTCAGCCTTGATGATGAAAGCATCAATCTTAACACACTGTAATACAAGCATGCTTCAGTTTTATGTAGGTTTTATATTGTCAGCTCCTGAACTGGTTGTAGTTGTTTGGCATCACTTGTTGCAAAAACATATTGCTCACCAAACTATGTGGCTTTGCAATAAATACTCAAACCGATGAAATAGAATTGGTCAATTGCTCTGACATCAAATTCTAAATAGTTAATTTGTTCCATCTAAATATCACCAACAATTATACAACAAATTTTGTTATCGTTCATTGTTCTGGCATCAACTTCAAATTAATGTGATAACCTATTGGTAGTGCATTCAAATAATATTGTGTAGCCATTATCAACCATTTTCTGGCAGATATGACTTTTTGTTTGCTCCTGCAAAAGATCTCCTAATCACTACCTGGTTCACTTTCTCAATGTCACTAACAATATCATCAGTATCAATGTCATACTCATCATTTTGAATTTATCTATCTTTAGATGCTGGTATTTCTGCAATTTGATCTTCTACAACTTGGTAAAGTTCATTAGGATTCATTGGGTAATTTAATATCCACATACTTGCTTACTCTCCAACCTCCAATCTTAGTAAAAGCTACTCCCTTGGAGTCTTTTCATCTTCAGCCTTGATGATGAAAGCATCAATCTTAACATATATTGTAATACCAGCATGCTTCAGTATAAAGTAGGGGTTATACATTCAAAAAAAGTGACATTTAATTTCACAAGTAAAAAGCGTCTTTTTCACTCTGCTCTACTAGACTTGGCTGAAGGCTCCAACTCTTCTTTCTTCAGAGAAGAGTCGACCAAAATATATAATATACTGTAAAACATATCCAACTTTCCTGCATTTGCTGGAGTTTCTTTCTTGGGAGAGGGGTCGACCAAAGAATAAATTGGTCGACCCTCCCAACCTTTTCCATAGGCTCCCAGTCTGGAGGGGGGGTCGACCAAAAAGAATGAATTAGATTTGTGTTTTTTTGGTCGACCCTCCCAGCCTTTGCCAAATGCTCCTTATGATTTTTCTTTTTTTAATTGTATAGAGAAATATAGTTTTATCTTAGAGAGTCAACGTCCCTTGCCTTTCTTTTCTATCGATCCAGCTTCTACTTTTGATTAGGATCAGTGAAAACAATTGCTAACATTACTATCTAGTTAGTTGCTGTATATATTAAAACAAAGGCATGTTTAGAATTCAATGTATATCAAACGTGTAGGACCGGGGGACCGGGGACAGCGTCCGGTCAATTTTCAATATAAAGGCGTGTGACCCTTCAACAAGGTCACTCTCAAGTCGCAAGGTCACAACCAACAGGTTCAGGCCGATCCTTACAGCGACTGAGGTGCGGTTTACTTCGCACCAATTCCGGTTTCTTTTTGAAGCCACAAAGCATCCAAGAAAGGGAATGGTCAACCTTCAAGGTACTTTGTTGATCATACGCAGCGGATTGAGAACCGGTCGATTGGATGATAATTACTAACAGAGGTCCTTGCAATAGCCTGCTATTGATACTTCCTGATTCCAACAGGAGGAACAACAAACCCTTGATTCCACTTGGTGAAGTGGTTCTGGAAGAAGTCAGATGTCCATCCCTGGCACCACAAGAGAAACAGGAACCCACAGCCACACATGCTGATGCAATTATTGACACCGAAGAAAACCTCCCAGTCCATCGCAGGCAGTTCCACTGCAGTGCCCAGCAGCCCACAGGCTGGGCTGTTTCGGGGTGACCAACCGACCAGTTGGGTGAAGCTCCAAGTAAAGGGTTAATTAGGTTGATTCGATTTGTCACTGCAACAAGCCGGATGATGCAGGGGTGAAGCTTCCACCTCGTTCTCAAAGTCGAGGGGCCTCTCCAAAGGAGGGATTGTCGTGGCTTTGTGACCTTATCACTTCCACTGTCCATGCCTCAGGGTCCGTTCAACATCACCAGAGATCCGGGTTTTGATGCCTTGAACGAATGGTATATTTTGGAGTGGCAAAGGAATAGTGAATTAAATTGGTTAGGCAGCCATACGAAGCAGAAGAGGTGACAAGACCCTCAAGGAGCGGTCTGGAAAAGCTGATCTCTCCACTCCGAGGTAAGGCGCCAAATCTTACGTTCCCCACCTTTTCATGGTTTCAAGTTCCAACAAACATTGGGCACATGTACTTCGAGACGTTTGGCTTTAGGTGAGGATTAGGACAAAGAAAGAGTTGTTGATCACGATTGCCAGTTCTTTTGTCCCATCCCAATCTGGAGTTTCCTCTCGGAATTGCGCAGAGTTCTTTCACAAATCCTATGTGAACCAGCTAATTCACTCTCCTTCCGACTTAGGCCGCGGAGAGCTCCCCCTCCAGATCACCTCCACCTGAGGCAGCGCGGCAGCGCCACGGCGGCGCCGAATCGGGAGGGGAGTCTGGGACAAGAGAGGTTGGTCAACCCAAATAGAAACGATTGAACACCTTGTGGCACACTAAAAATGGTTTCCTTATGATTCCTTCTCATGTCTCCTGATTCCTTCTCCAAAGTGACGGAACCAGTGCTGCAGGGACGGAACCTGCAGAATTGCCACGATTCCAATCCATTCACCCAGAAAAACTCTTCCATGAACACACTTAGGATTGATCCACCGTCTTGTCTTATCTGGTCTTCATGGTTAATGGGTAGCCTTGTCGCATCCAACTGGTTTACTGCGGAACAACCATAGAAGCGCAATGGACTTAGATCCTTTTGGATCGCATCCAGTCCCAAGTCGCGCACGTCGTTGCAGGTCTGAGTTGGGCGTATGGGAAGGTGTCGTTGGGTTCCCAATCACTTACAACACCAGGAGAACGAAGGACACAACATCAAACATAGCCTTTGGCCCAAACTGCAATCGTTTTAAGGGATTTCTCCTCTCCAGTCTGTCACGATGTGTTCTGCAGGATATCTCCATACAGTCCTTCTCCGAAGTGATGGGAGCGCTGTTACTTGCGGAACGAACTTCGCTGAACAATGCGACATTCCACCTTTGGAGGGAATTAGGTACACCCAAGTTTCTGCAGGAGATCATCATTCAGTGCTTCTGCGAAGTGATGGGAGCGCTGTTGCTTGCGGAACGAACAGAGCTGGACAATGCAGCATTCCACCTTTGGAGGCGGGTTTTTGCTACACCCAAGTTTCTGAGGAGACCATTCAGTGCTTCTGCGAATTGATGGGAGCGCTGTTGCTTGCGGAACGAACAGAGATGGACAATGCAGCATTCCACCTTTGGAGGAGGGTGTGCGCTACACCCAAGTTTCTGCAGGAGCGATTCATTCAATGCTTCTCCGAAGTGATGGGAGTGCTGTTTCTTGCGGAACGAACAGAGATGGACAATGCGACATTCCACCTTTGGAAGAGGGTGTGTTCTACACCCAAGTTTCTGCAGGATCTCGTCATTCAGTGCTTCTGCGGAGTGACGGGAGAGCCATTGCTTGCGGAATGAACGAATGCCGACAATGCGACATTCCCCCTTTGCAGGAGGGAATGTTCTACACTCAAGTTTCTGCAGGAGTTTCTTATTCAGTGCTTCTGCGAAGTGATGGGAGCGCAGTTGCTTGCGGGGCGAACTATCATGGACAATGCGACATTCCACCTTTGGAGGAGGGAGTGTGCTACACCCAAGTTTCTGCAGGAGGTTGTCATGCAGTACTTCTGCGAAGCGATGGGAGCGCTGTTGCTTGCGGAATGAACGAAGAAGGACAATGCAACATTCCCGTGTTTGCAACCGGTAGCTACCTTTTTGTTTGTGGCAAAGACTACATTCTGCAATTGCGCGCTGCCCTGGAAGATGATGGAGCGGTGCTGACATGCTGTGATTTGGCCGGACATGAGGTATTGCGATTGAGAGGAAAAGCGTCGGACCCGGCCTGGGAGACTCACAAGCGCATTGCCAGTGACTTGCAGGTTAGCCTTCAAAATCTTCGTCTGGTCTTGCCTGATGGACAGTTGTTGGCCTCGATCTGCAGGGCAAGTCCATTGGCCACCATTGCAGATCTGAGTGAGTGAGGTGTGTCCCGTGTTCTAGCTCCGTCAGGAACAAAAGCCACACGGCACAAGTCAATTTTCGCCGTGTTGTTGCTTGCGAATTGTCAATGGACGATGCTCTGATACCCATGCAGAGTTTGGCTGTGGGATCGAAAACTTTTGGCAGCCACGAAAAGCCGCGAGCGTGCGCCAAGCGCCGCAGGCATGCCTCGTGTGCGCGAGCGCTGACTGCGTGCAACCCGTGGGCACAGGTGAAGTTCCAACACCGGAGGACGGCCACCGAGGTCCGACGCTGTAAGAAGGCCGGGAGGTGTGGGGTGACCAGTTTGAGGCGACCAGTTGGATTTTGGGGCAGGTGTAAACTGGGAGGAACGATCAGCTGTTCGGCGGGTCCTTCAAACTGGGCACCATTCAGGGTGAGCCTGCCGTTGCAATCACCTTTTCAAAAACTAGAGGTGTCATCTATGACAGTAGATTTTTGTAACGCTGCTTGAAACAACCGGTGGTCACTGTGGGTGATGCATGGCGATGCCACGTCTTAAGCACTGGCATGTGGCACCTGTGTGCTCAAAGAATATCAGGGCTCGGCAGCGCAATGGTATTGATGTGTGATGATCGGACATCTCCCTGATGTGTCGGGGATTTCGGTTGCTGGTTTTGAGGTCAAGGACCCCCCGCCCACGCCGCCGACACATGTCGAAACCCATACTTGCGATTAGTTGAAATGAGCCATATGGATTTCCATGGCAGGACGAATGTGTTGAAAGCAGGTCTTAAATTCTTTTAGTGCAGTCTATGATGGCTCTTATGCACATTGTCCAGGCAACGACTTCATATTCATGCATTAAATCTGGACGTTCCTTTAGCGTGAAAGCCAGAAAGCCTATTCGTCATAGTTGGAAGAAATGGGGAAACGCAGAGACAATAATTTTAATTGATGCAATAGATTTACATATAGATGTGACATATAAGTTATAAGTGTTCTTGGCCAGACCTTTCAGAATACATCGGCAATCTCGACCGGTTTGGTGACTCCATGGATTACACAACCCAAATATGCTACCACCGGGGTGCAGAACTCCGACCTGGTTCCTGTTCTCGTGACAGATGTGGATGTTGTCCAACGAAAAATGATGTGGAAAAGACTACATTGAAGGAGCAGATGAATCTGGTAGGCAAAGCAACATATGTTTTTGTGCAAGTGCGAGACCTCCATGATACGGCTCGCATTTGCCTTGATTTGAATGCACAAACCTTCTTCGATAAGCATCAGGCCATAGTGCTTGACAAGAATGGCAAAGTGACACTAAGTACATCAACTACCAAGATCGGTAGGGCGTCAAGAGCATGGCTTGTGAGTGTGCTAGATGTCATAACCTGACGGACCAAAACTTTTACAGGCACACGACGTGCGGGTAGTTGTGTGTGAAGAACTGGCACATTTCGCACAAGAGCGCAGTTTCCAGAAGGCCTGTACAACTGCACAAGAGGCCCTGCAGCAGCACAAAGATGCCCTTCTCTATGTCCATGTCCGCGCGTGTGACCAAGATGGCAAACACCTGATGAACAAGTATATATTTGTTGCAGGTGAATGATAAAACAAGGGATGCAATTGTCGAAGTCCAAAATGCCATGCTTCATGCAGGAGTCCCTGCACTGAGAGCACTCTCTTTTTGATTCTTTTTTTGTTTTTTTTCCACGTGCTTCTCATCACCGTCCGCCTCTCAGCACTTCAACTCGCCAAAAGATATGGGACCGTCCAGCGAGAGTTTGAGGCCAAGAAGCTTTACAAAGAACAGTATGGATCAATTTTGGGGAAAGGCTTTGAAGATCATCAGGCTTTGGAGCTCCAAAAACGGACCCTTGGCTCCAAAGAAAAATGACGGCGAAGAAGTTTCTCACGATGGCAAGATCGCCTTAAGACAGTCGAAAAGGCTTTGGCTGATTTGGCTACAACGATTCAATCGCCGCAGCTCCCAGAAGGGCCCAGGGGCCCAGCAGCACATGCTGCCAATGCTTTAGATGCTTTGGAGGACTATTGACTATTGAAAAAAACATGCGGATCAGTGGGAGACGTTATTATATGTTGCCGGGGAGTCCCATAACAAAAAGGAAGGGGCAAGTAGACCTTAGAGACCAATGCTCTAGGATTTAGGGGTCCCACCAAAGAGACCCGAGCAAATCCAAGTGCATATCGCTATGCTATTGTGGCAGAGCTGTATCCAACATTCAGAAAGCTAAGGACTGCCCCAGTGCCTTTTGTTGATCAACTAAACGCTGTGCTTTGCCGGTGCCATTGACAAAGTCATGGCTCGGTTGACTCTTGGCCACCCGATTGAGAGGGGAATCCCATCTGCCCGTTCGCGACGGATCAGGGCAAGCGCAGCGACATCAAGCCGCACGAGTGGGACAAGTTCGGGTACTTTGCGAAGGCTTTGACCGATCAGAAGCGATGGATCGATCATCAGGATTGCTTAGGTTGACATGTAGAATCTTTTAAGGTTGATGACATGATCACAGGATTGCAGCGAGTTTTGGCGGAGCCTTCCTTTTTAATCATTCGCCTGGAGTTGAGGGACCAACGACCAAAAGTCTTTGTCATCAATCATCCGCAAGAAAAGAGGCATACAATATGTGTTTTAGTGTTCAGCTGTATTTCATGTCAGCTTGGTGACACTCCAGGAAGAGGTCTTGGAACGGCCCATCGTCTATGATGAACAGACCGTGCCGATTCCAAGGGTCAAGGCGCGATCACTGTCTACTGCTGCGTCTATTGCCCTGCTTGCGCCTACGTGAGACCGTGGATGTGGGCATTGTTTGATGCTACCACGTGATCACAACGAGGACTTGCGTAGAACATGTGAACATATCTAGCAGATTCCCAGATCCCCTCCAATTAGGTTCATCATTTGTTGGGGCCTCTGATCCAATCCTACCATTTGTAGGCGAGCGACATTACGCCTGAGCAGTTCTTCCAGCAGTTCTCCAGCCAAGCGTGGCCGGTCATCGTGGAGGACCTGTCGGAAAGCTTGCAAAGGGGCCCTAAAGCCAGCTGTGTGGAGTTGCTACCCTCACCGGTATTGAACATTATTGAACAGATGGTCTGAGCACGGCAAGTCGGGATCCGAGCGGGGGTTGAAGGGTGAAAGTCATGGGCCAAGGCTCGGTCGACTCGGTCGACCGAACACCTTCGACGACAAGGTCAGTCTGCAGTCAGGCAGTCGTTGGTGCCTGCGATGAAGTTCTAGGAAAACCGAGTGGTGGAAGGCTCAACCGTTGAACCCTGGAAAAGTGTGGTGAAACGATCAGCGCAGGCAGGTTTGATGCTTCCACATGCAGCCACGAATCTCAAGACGGAGCCTTAAGCAGCTGGAAAGAAACCGACAAAAAAGGTGTTAAACATGTCAAGCTGCTGCTATAACACGTCGACATACGTCAACAGTTTGTTTTTTTTAAACTTTCATAGCAGCTTAAACATGTCAACATTGTCAACTATGTCCAATAATTGTCCAATCCTTGTCCTTCAAAAATGCCTCAGAACCGCCCGGGACGCGGTTCCAAGACGCGCGCCGACACGAGGAGTGCTGTTCCCATTGGCCGGCGATGAGTCGGTGGTCCATTGCCACTTGGCGAAACCGGGACGTCTGACGTGACCGTTTTGTTTGACCGGAGATGACCGGAAGACGACTGGGGGATGACCCAATCGATCTATATGTATCAGATACACAAGCATATCTAAGCCAAACACAAGTCTTGAACAGGGCTACACGGTCGTTGTGTAGTAGTTATTTTTTGGTCTTCATAGGTGGCCAGGACTATCAAATCGGATGGTTTTAGGATCTCCCGTATAGGAGCCATTTAGGGATTGATTCTGGACCCTTCGTGGCTAAGCATTTTCATGTTGCTTCTTTATTTGAAGATAGACACACAAGTCATGCATGGTTTAATAGTATTGCATATATGGCATACATAACCTTCTAGTCGGGAGATGATAAAGAGAGCTTCCACTACTCTTGGGCCCCACAGCCCATTGCGGTCTGTGCTCCCCTCCGCCGAGGACGCCTTGGACGAGCGCTTCCGGCACGTGCCTTTCAAGGCTCCCGCAGCGTCACTGACAACGTCACTGACGGTCCAAACCAATGCGTGATTGTTACGGTCAAGAACTTTGGGATGAACAAAGGATTCAAGACTCAAGACCTTTCAAAGGCCCAACACTGATAGATGTTGCGAAGTGGATGATCACCTATGAGGTGATCATCAGCAAGAGGCTTTGCATGATCAGGACCACCCCTAAGGTGCCTTCGAATCTGCAGGTCGCCAAGGATGACAATGGAAAGAAGCTGCGGATGAAGCTCCCTGGTGGATCATTTCCCGAATTTGATCAGAAGAAAGTGACTGACTCATGCCAGACTGTCAGACATTTGTCAGTCTGACTGACGACTTGTGATTTGGAGGAGAGGTTTGAGTGGGTCAAGAACAATGCTACACACAATGGGTTGAGGTTCGTAGCTCTCAACATTTGGTGGGTGTGCATTTGAATCTGAATCTATGAGCAGGATGGTGTTGGGGAATACCTCCCCGGTAAATGCCACGTATCCCAACATCCAGGTGAACACTTGTCATGACATCTCGGTGTGCTGGACTGACGGGTGGAACGCCTGATGCGCACGTGGCCGTGGCTGAGGTTCAAGTACTTTGCAGACTATGTGAGACATCAGCGCGCCCCAGCCTTGGGAGCTTGAGAAAAAAAAACGCAGCCGTCACACAGCCGTCTCCATCGTCAGGTGCTTCCCGGTGTTGGCTTCTTCACGAAAAAAGCCCGTTCTGTCGACCACGTAGATCTGTCGACCACGTAGATCGGTCGACCCTATCAGGGCCGTGCGTCTCATCGCGTGGCCTCGGTTGGTCCGAGGACGACAATCCGCTGTACCTCTTTGAGACCGACATGGACGACAACGCGCACATCAGGTGGAAGTGGAGTCACATGGGTTTTCAGGAAGGGGCATTGCACAATCAGGGACCCGCTCCAAGCAAACACACAGCTGATTCCAGAATTTCAGGTTTGGGAGGAGGCTCCTATGAGGTTCCTGGACGGATTTGAATGAACAAACTTCTTTGGTTTTCCTCTTCTGAATTAGTTGCTTGTGCCTTCCACTTCTTCAACGTCTTCTCCCT